ATCGACTGAGATAAAGAATAAAATGAAATATTAAAAACACGATGTATCTCGCTGCATTGCGCGAGTACTCTTCTAGTATATATATATATATATGTATATGTACACGTATACCTATACGTATACGTATATGTACATGTATACGTATACGTATACGTATATGTATGTAGGGTTGGGTTCACGTGAGACCCGTAAGACCAATTTATGTCCATTGATCAACTTTATAAGCTAATGATCTAATGGTCTAAAATTGCACGGTAGCAATTTTGTGATTATTGAGAAGTCTCGTGGCGTTTATAAATGTTCAAATTTTCATATTCTAGATCTAATCCAAGGGTTTGAAAATTGGTTTTACGAGTCTCACAAAAAATTATTGGTCTCACATGATCACAAGTCTATATATATATTAAAAATATAAAAAATAAAATTGGTGTTGGTGTATGTAAATAAAAAAGTAATAATAGATAAGGGTATACTTAGCTATATTTAGAATCACATTAACCTATATTTATTAGATTGTTCGATCTATTTTGCATCGACATATCATCTCTTTTTATTTTAAAATAACTCGTTTCTCTTACAAATACATGAAATTTACAAATCATAAATGCATCTTTGATAGTTATTCACATTTAGGCATGGCAACGGGTGTGGATGGGACAGGTTTTATAATCCCAACCCGACCTCAGTTTTTAGTAACAGCCCCGACCCCGGCCCAGTTCCTGGTGGGTACGAGGATTAACATTCCGTCCCTGGTCAAACCCCTGTCAAACCTCGATCAAACCCCATGAAGAATATTCGTTAGCTTGACTATATCGGGGATCCCCAGCCCCGGTTTGAGTTTATCGAGGATCCCCGACCCTTAGACCCGTTTTAGTGGGGAATCTCCGTCCCCGTTCGGATTGGGTGAGCCGGGTTCCCCACCGAATCGAGACAAATCACCATCCTTATTTGCATTTATTATGGAAAATAAGAAAGAAAAAAGTCAATTTTCGATGCATAAAAATTACTCAACCCAAACAACTTATTTGTTTTATATATTTTAATATTTATTATATAACTAAAATATTCAATAATACAACAAAAGTTATTTCTCTCTTTATTCATTTGTTTTATTGATCGGTTGAAGACGATCACATTGAAAATAACGAAAATGAAGTTTTTGAAGAATTCTCCAAAGCAGTTGAAAATTGTCTCTGTTTTTCTATTTTTTTTTATTAACCTAGATATCCAACCTGTTATGCGGGCCGACTGATCTTAGGGCGACTACCTGTTTTGCCGGTAGCTCGAAGTCACAGCATTTGAACTTCCGTGGCCACAAGAGGATTTTTATTCCTCCTTGGATTTGAACATGTGACCTTCAGATATTTTTTTGACCTTTAGAGTCAAGCTCAAACCAATCAAGCACCACTTTTGTGATTTGCTTTTCTACTTTCTCTTTTTTGGAGTAAGTGTTTATCGACAATAATCCCCACCTTCAGTTAGCTTATTAATTAGGCAACATTTTTTTGCCATCAATTGGATTGTTTTAAGCGTTTCTTACCCAATAAACACTTAGGCCTTGTTTATTTTTTCAATTAAAAACTGTTTTAACCTTTTATGTCTGATTCGTTAAGATGTAAGACCATTCAGACTGATTGTTTTTTCTAGTTCTTCAAAGGTACTTATATCTTATTGTCTTCTTATCTAGTAAGAGATAAACAAGTTTGTATTTGCCTCTTATTGTTCTTCAAACCCCCAACAACAACGTTTCTCAATCGGTTAACATTAATCGATCGTTTCTCTCAATCAATCCTTACCAAATCAATCCTCACGTCTCTCAATTGATGCATTTTAACAGGATTTAAACGTGTTAAATACGTTAATGACATATTTTGTTTAAATGAATGTTAATTATATAATCTAGACGTAAATTTTATAATGATGATGAATAAATTTATGAAATTGTGTAAATTTTATTTATAAATTCAACAATATAATTCTTTAAATGGGTAAAATAAACAATTTAAACAAATTTAAACATTTATCAATTTATAAAAACAAACGGTCATATTGACTCCAATTTCAGACTTCAACACCACCTCTTATAAATCACAATTTTAACACCTCTTAAAAAATAGACGACATCTTACCAGATAACTTGTCTTCTCCTCACTTACTGAGTAAAATTATTGCTTCTTATTATTTTTACCAGGTAAGATTTTCGATCATTTAATGTTCATCCGGCAAGATAATTTACACTTGATAAACGACCACCCAATAAAAATTTAATAAACGGCCCTTAAAAATAAAAATAATAAAAAAGAATACAATTGAAAAAATTAAAAATGAAATTATTCGGCACCGCAAAGGTTGGTGATCGATTCATCCCACAACATTCAAAGCTTTTATAACCGAATTCCCCAACTACCCCCCAAAATTTATTACCCCTTCTTCACCTCTCCCTCCATTATAACAAATTATTACAAATCGGTGTCTTCTAATTTATTATGTATGGCATATATACTGCAAGGGTATTTTAGTAATTTTGACAATTTTAAACCTATATAAGACAATAGGAACACTCGAAACCAGACCATTCATCCAACATGCCACCGTCGTCCACCACCACCGTTGCAGCCTCCTTCACCGCCATCTTCCTCCTCCTTACCACCTCTTCCGCCAGTCCGGCTTCCCGGCCCCGGCCGTTTAAGAAAATTTATGCATTCGGAGACTCTTACACCGACACCGGAAACACCGCCTCCGCTAGCGGCCCTAATGCCTTCACTTACGTCTCTAACTTGCCATACGGTCGCACGTTCTTCCACCACCCCACCAACCGCTACTCCGACGGCCGCCTCGTCATCGACTTCGTAGCGGAATCGCTCTCCTTACCCTACGTGCCACCCTACCACAACCGCAAAGCCGACACCTCGTTTGGCGTCAACTACGCTGTTGCGGGGTCCACCGCTATACCTTATGGGTTCTTTGTCAAAAATAACCTCACTCTCGACATCCAACCTCAGACCTTACAAACTCAACTTGCATGGTTTAGCAAGACCTTGGAGGGGCACAAATGTAAAAACACCAAATCAACTCCTAATGAATGTAAGGCGGTTTTTGGGGATGCATTGATTTGGGTGGGTGAAATTGGCGCCAATGATTACGCTTACACCGTCGGATCTTCCGTTCAAAGCAAAACCATTCAACAGCTTGCGATTCGAAGTGTCACCGGATTTCTAGAGGTAATTATTAGATCATAAAATCAAGAGTAAACTACAAAAATTGGTCCTTGTAGTTTGTCAAAAATAACACTTTTAACCCCTATAGTTTTGAAATTATAAAATGACTATCATGATTTGCGAAAACGTTCGTATTTAATCCCTTTCTCTAATGACCAATAAAAATTCCTTTACATTTTCATTGTTCTATCGATTTTTTTGTCTTTTATCCAGTTAAAAACCATATGGATCAGAATCATAAAATCTATTTTGATTGGGTAAAAGACAAAATAATTGTTAAAATGATGGAAATGCCCTTTGTTTAACAGAACTTTTAGCAGTCGTTAGAGGAAGAGATCAAATCCAAACATCTTTAGGACAAAAAAAAATTTAAGACTTCATTTTTTTATACCGTAAAATGAAGTCTTAAAAACCAGTATATTAAGATATTTAGATACCATTTGACATCCAATAAATTAAGTCGATTTTGTTATAACGAGACTTGTCTTCTACCTCAAAAAGTAGAACGAATGTTTCCACGACGATACATAATTTCTAATGATTCGTTTCAATAGGCATTGCTTAACAAAGGCGCAAAATATGTGGTGGTTGAAGGCCTCCCGACCACCGGTTGCCTAACCCTCTCGATGGCACTCGCATCTGAGTCCGATCGCGACGACATGGGCTGTGTGGGTAGTCTCAACAAGCAAAGCTACGATCACAACACCATCCTGCAAACCAAGATCCAAGACCTCCGCAAAAAGTATCCACAAACAGTCATCGTTTACGCCGACTACTGGAACGCTTACCGTTCCGTCATCAAGAACGCACCCAGACTCGGGTTCAAGGAGCTTTACAAGGTGTGTTGCGGGTCAGGTGGCTCGCCATACAACTTCGACATCCTTGCAACATGTGGATCCCAATCTTCGAGCTCGTGCCAAGACCCTGGTCAATACATCAACTGGGACGGGGTTCATCTCACTGAGGCTATGAATAAGGTAGTTTATGAGTCATTCCTTAAGGGCGGGTTCACACATCCACCATTTGGGTACGTATTAAGCAGTAAAGAAAGCTCGGGCTAAATTACTATGAACCAGTTTCCTAGTTTTACTGATAGATGTAGTTATTTTCAAGCACCGAAGCAGCAAACAGAATGCAGTGTAGATTACTATGAACCTTACTGCTCATGTGGGCTTATTGTTCTTGAGATGAATAATCGATTTTGGTTCTTGAGCTATCTCTTAAGTTTTCTACGCTTTTAAAGCTAATCCTCAACGAAAAGTGCCTGAAACGGAAAGAAATGATTCAAACGAACCTAATTCCATATGAAATAGGACGTCCCCCTTTGTTTAAGAACCAAGGGGCCGTTCACTAACCCAAATTGGGTAAGCGTAACGTAAACCGGATAAGAGTGGGATCTAGGTAAACATGAATTGAAAGTGGTTGTTTACCAAGTATTTTGTAGCAAGTGCTTACAGATAAAAACATTTCAGTAAGCACTGTCTGACTTGGTTAGTGACATTGACCTCGGTAAGTCAAAAGTGTAGCTTAAAACATAATCTCTTACCGGGTCAGAGGCTCTCACCCAAGAGCAAAAAGTAAACAGCCTCAAGTGTCTGTTCTTGACTTTTGGAGTTCAAACAAACTACCTTTGAGCTCGAAAATTATTGTGATTATATTCTGAATTCGGAATGAATTTGATTCCACTTAAATCAGACAAGAAGTATCGATCAGTAGAAAACATCGCGATGAAGATATAGGCTATTCGGCAGAGAATATTTTGTATTTACGAATACTTAGGTTTGACTTTCAAAAGTCAAAGGAGCACATAAGAAATCAAGAATGACACTGAGAGCTTCAGAAAACACATTTTCTATCGTGAATGATGGTTAATATCTACACTGGGAATGTACATTATTTTGCAGAAATCGACTGCAAAATCAATTGCGTTAAATTTACGAATATACAAGAAAAGGTTACCATTTTCGACTAAGAGGCCATTTACCAACGCATAATGGGTAAGCGCTAACTGGATAAGAGTGGAGCCTTGGGTCATCACTAGTCACCAACCGAATGAGAGTCCCTCCTTCGCTTACCAGGTCAGCATCATGGACTAGTAAGAGGGGCTTGGTAGACAACAGCATCTCTGACAGGGTAAGAGATGGTAAGCAGATAGTAACCATCCCCTAACTCGGATTAGATCAAGTAGTCATTGTATACCAAGAAAACTGCATCTGGGATATCTTTAGGCAGCTTGTTTATGAAATTATAGAAGCGTTTCTTGTCTTCTTTTGACACGGTTTTTTGGTCAACCACGTCTCCCATACACGGGAGAACCCATAAGTCCCCTGAGTTCACTCTCTTCAAGCTGCCACGACAAAAAGGGCAGGATACCGACCTCATGTTCCTGTATAAATCTTGAAATTTAGCAACAAAAAAGGAGAAAGAGATGCCAGCTAAAATTATGACTCGAGAGCATCTCCAACTCAACACCAAATCCCATTTTTACACCATTTCACTACAACCCAACATCAATTCTTGAACCATTGTGGTGTTGGTGACCTGTATAAGACCAATTTAATTTGGTGTCCTACTATTCATTACACCGACATGTTGAACTATTTTAATTCAAAATGGTTATTCAAGTTCAATATATGCTTACTTTAAGTTTATTTGATTGTCAACGATATTGGACCAGTTCAAATAATAAGTCTAATTATTGTGACAAGGTAAGAAGGGAATATTCATATGTGAATCATTGAAAAAATCCGAACTTTTTTATTTGAAGACGTGTAAGTGAACCGACGTTACAAATTATTCATAAGACAGATGCATCTTCAAATGGATTTTTTCAATGATCCACGTATATGGGCTTTTTTAACCTCCGACTATATATAAAGGGAGGAATAAACGAGAACAGTACCTATTACAAAGAACACAAAAACGGGCGAATCACATGTGATTTTACACTAACATCACATACAAAATCACATGTGATTTGGGCAAACCTTGCCCGGTGACCTGAAGACACAACCACAAGTCGCCCAACCACTTTTTTTACCATTAATGTAAAATACATGTGATTATGCACATGATTTGCCCATTTTCCGTGTTCTTTTAAATAGGTACCGCTCTCGTTTGATCCTATCCCCCTCTCTCTATATATATGTATATATATTACAAAATACGAGAAAATAAGAAAATACATGACTTGAAAAGAAATTTAAAAACAAATAGTAATAAACAGCTAATAATATAAGGGTATTGTTGAAAATGTATATAAGTTAGCAATAAGCAATATACTTGAACTATTTTATTCGGTGTTAAAAATGGTTCAATTGGTCAAAGATGAAATACTGTTTACACCATATCTTACACCATTTTGGTGACAATATGGTGCAAACAATTGGAGATGGTCTTAGATGTTAAAGATCACTAAAACTTACCAGTCATGGTAGCAATTGATGCACATTGCATGACAGCAATTGGGCAAAACCATCTTGGTGCAGGGCTCTAAGCAGATACCACATTCATCTTCTCTTTCCATATCAACATCTGAATTGTTAGTCCTTTTTTCTATTTTCTTTTTAGGAATTGTGCCAAAAGCTTGAATATCACCTTCGCTAACATCTAGCTCCAATGGGTTCGTTCGCAGACGCTTAAGCGATGGTAGTATCACATCTGCAATTTACTATGAGTTATAGCTATGGAAGATGACATCAAAACAGCCATCCATCATTGTCCTACATACGGAACTAAAAAAAGATTTTATGGAAACAGCTGGTCTACTCTTGTAAGCATATGTCCGGTCTACGTACATCTTATCCCTCTCAGACCCCGGTGGGACATACTGGGTTCGTTTGGTTTGTATTGAACTAGAAGAAAGAGATGTTTTAAATCAATTACACAGTGATCTGATGTTTGCATTACCGTAAAACTCTCGAATGGATGCCTTCCTCCCAAGTGAAGTAAGCTTCGGCCTCCCATCTGGCAAGACCTGAAAGACAACCAATGGTATGATCACTTATCAACAAGAAAACAACTTTGATATGAAAAATCCCTATTCAGTTTTCGATCCTTACATCAAGACTCGCCAATGAATTTGGGAGGCCATTCCTACTTTGAAGATCCCAATTTTAAAAGCTCCATTTTGGAACGTATTATGTCTTTGAAGCAATTAAAGGTTCTCAACAAAAAATCAGTATTGAATCTTACTTGTTTGTGACATCAAAATTGAGCTTTTGAAAGTACGTTTCCCAAAATATAAACCAGAACATATTAAATTCCATTTTGATGTAATTTTCCGTGTATAATCTATCAGCTTTAGGGTTAGGCACATAAAATTTTATTTTCCACATATGTATCGTTTTCTCCATATAGCGAGAACTCATTCATGCATCACTTGACCAAGTGAATCTCTGTGTTCTCTATGTGTGATCATTCATCATTTGCATCATTTGCATCATTATACACAATACTAACCTTGTGTACTATCACGTAGCAGAAACTGAGACAGGTTTGAAGCAAGCATGAACACGGGAAATTGATCCACTGGAGTAAAAACGATAAAATGTATGCCATGTCATTGTAACCCAACTCCATTCGGAGACAAGCTCCACCTTTATCCCTCGGAATAGAAGCTGCCCTGCAAACAAAGGATTAAAAACTTAAACTTCTAGCATTAAGACGACTATACTCCAAATTAAGCAAAGATATATTATCGACATATCGCAACATTTCAACAACAAAAATCATTCAGGTTTGATGTCTCATTCTCTTTTCATGCATTATACACAAGATTTAGGGGCCGTTTACCCAAATGCTTACCCAGTAAGCGCTTATTGATAGGAGTTAACACTATAATTTATTTTGATGCGTAAGATTTTAGTATATCAAAACATATCGAATGCAACAAGTTACTGGGTAAGCGCTAACCTGGGTAAGAGTCGTTATCCTCACTTACCAGGTAAGCCTCTCTATCTTTCTCATCGCTCTTACCCGGTAAGATTTTTTGCCCTTTTCATGTTCATCCGATGAGGAAATTTAACCGATAAGCACTTACCAAGTAAGTAATGAAGTGGGGCAAAAGATTCATCCCCATTACAAATTAAGGAACTTAAAAACCTTAAAACAGGCAGAGCATACAAAGATTTCGTTATGGATTCAACATCTGCAATTAGAATTCTGGGCATTTTAAAGATTGGGAAAAGGATGTCAAGTGTTAATTGTTTCTCTTCTCTCACTCCCCACACCCCCCCCCCCCCCCACAAAAAAAAGTAAAGGTGTTGACTTTTGGTCAAACAGTGAATTCAAGATTTCTGATGGCAAAATATGAACAAGGGTTCTATGCTGAATGATACCGAGCACATCAACCAGTTTTTCTCATCAAAATTTAACTAAATTCACGTCAATTGTAGCATAAGTTTCTCTGATTATATCAAAGTTAAAGACTGCTGCTCTTGCAGTGATGTAAAAGCATTACAAAATGGAAGAAAACTACTCTGTAACTGCAAAATTAACATAGATTTTACCAAAAATTGAGGACCCACAATTTCATATGTATAGATTTTAAGATACGGTGTAAAATTTTCTGAAAAAATTAACATATGGTATAAAATTCTCTGGAAACTTTCCAAAGTTGGCAACAATTTTGAATTCCGAAGCCAAAGATTCCCACTGCCTTTTCTTCCACGATCAAACACACAAAACCCCCAAATCAACAAGCTCGTTAACAAAATTTCACTTTACAAAAACCGTATTCAATCGGAAAGCTGCAAAAGCACATATACACAGAGAAGGAGACAGTGAGAGTGAAGAGGACTTACAGCATATTAGCAAACTGTATATCAACCTCAAGAACTTTCAGTGAATCCCTATAAGAAGGACACGATGCAAGCTGATGATAATAATAATTATCCATCATTAAATTAAACCCCCAATAACCAACTTCCACCAAGAACAAAAAGGAAAAATGATCGCACTTAGCAACCACCCTTTTCTTCAAAAACGATGAAAAGGGGAAATGAGCGGAGAAAAAGTTCGAGAAGGGGGAGTTTATACGAAGAAATTATGGGTGGGTGTTGGGTTTGGGTTGGATTATATGCTTTAAATTGGGCGCCGTTGAACAGGCCAATGAGAGAGAGAAATTTGAAGCAAAAGTTATGGGAATTTGAATAAAGGGTCAGAGTTGTTGAAAATAATATGGGAGTTTGACTGCGTTTTGGTTCAGCGACTCCATTAGAGAAGAGAAGGGGAGGAACGGTAGAAATGGTGACGACCCTTGTTTAGGGGGTGGGTCGTACTTAAAGTAAGTGACATTTTTACCCTTCTGATGTTGTCAAAAGGTTGGTTTTTAGGGGGTAAAACCGTAAATCGATCAAGTTTAAGTGAATAAGTTTACGCAACAAATTCTACATTAAAATGGAATTAATTTAATTTTTTCAAAAGGAGAAAAAAAACCCAAAATAGTACAATGCAGTCAAAAAAATTATTAATAACGATTACCGAAAAAGGCATAACTCTTACTTACCTTATTGGATAACATAATTGACCATCCAAATAGATTGTTGCTAAGTGTTAACTTGGTAATGGTCTGATTGTTAGCAACTTAATGAGCTTAATGGAACTTACCAGCTTAATTCGGTTAGTTATACATGACTGTTTGGTAGTAAATTAATGATACATAAAATAATATATACAGTTAGATAATAGGGTTATAAGTATCTCAAATAATAATAAAAAATCATCTGATATAAAAAAAATATATAGTTTATATTGAATATAAGGGCAAATTGCATGAAAAAGTACAGACTTTAACTCGATTCCTATTTTAGGTAATGTACTTTCAAAATTTTTATTTTGGTATCTAAAATTTAAAATTTTAGACATTTAAGTGTGAGGGTAACCAGTTTAAGCATTAACCAGTTATCATGTTGATGTGATATCCAACTCAGTATTATTTGTTGACGTAGTTAGTGACATTAATTTTTTTTAAATCCAAATCAGTCTTTTTTTAAATCTAAAATTAATATTCAACCGGTTACCTCGATACTCCAATGTTTAGAACTATATAGGGATGGCAAAAAAAAAGCCGAAACCGACGGTGAAAACCGAAAACCGAAATTTTCGGGCCGGGTTCGGTGACATTTTATTGGGGATCGGGGACAAATTCGGGGATCTTAACGGGCACCGTCCCCGCCCGATATGTATATATATATATATATATATATATATATATTTTAATTTATATACATATATATATATATGTATATTTTTTAATTTATATACATATATATATATATAATATCTTTAAAAAAAGTAACATTAAAATTTAAAAAAAAAATTATCCACTTTACCTCAACAACCCAAATAAAGCTCACGAAAAATCTAGTTTATTTGTCAAAAACCGTGATTTTAATTGTATGATGTTCGAATTTTTGTTTAGTTTTATATTGTAATATAATACATTGTTTGTAATTGGTTTAATTATGTTTAAGACATTTAAACTTAGATCTTTAAAAAAAATTGTAATTTACTTTTAATTGTGAAAATTAACATATTGTAATTTTTTCATATCGGTTTCGGGTTCGGTTATAACCAACGATGAAAATGAGAATTTTTACCCTTAACGGGTTCCCCAACGGGGATCGGGGAAACCGCCGGGACCCGATGGGGATCGGGACGGTTGCGGGGACGGTTTTAGCTATCGGTTTCGGGGACGGGGATACCAATACCCGGCCTGTTGCCATTCCTAGAACTTTACATCTTATGTACCAAAATGAATATTATAAAAATATGTTACCCAAAATAAAAATTAAGTTAAAATACGTTATTTTTCATACAATTTATCCCGAATATAATTTAATCATCTACTTAAACCATTCATATCGATTGTCATATCGACTTCCAACCAAAATAAAGGGTATGATAAACGTTTGAATCAAATCCCAACCGCCTCCAACTCAAATGAATGAAACTTTGACTTTTTTTAATTAAAGTCAACGCACCATATTTGACGTGTCGATTTGATCTTCCTAATAAATGTTTCCGGTTCGCTTGGTCAAAGCTATCCATCATTTTTGAGGTTTAAAAATTTATCTGAATTAATTTCAAAACTATATATAACGGATAACGTTGACAAATACATGAGATGACTTTGCAAAAAAAAAAGGTCTCGGGCTCAATCTTGGCTCCCAGTTAGGATCAGCTTTTGAATGAGTCAAAAAATGTCCTCTCACGTTGGTGTTCTTGGAATCAGATATGTGTGGAATCGGTTGAATTATCGATAATCAACTTTTTGCTCAAATATGTAAATGTTAATTGTATTAGAAAATTCATATTATTTGAAAATCAGGTGAATTGATTTTCTAAAATCGTATTTTGGTTCATTTTGATAGTTTGAAACTCAATAACTTTCGTTTTGATATTTCTCTTCATTTTGATACTCGGGCTTTCGGCCCAATTGTTCATTACTAACTTTTATTTTGAACTTATTTACAACTCGTTTGTTTTTTGTCGCCATGTTGTAATATACTACTATCATCTATACTATATTATAAAGTATTTGACAAAAACTTTTAAAAACCATCTTTTATGCATGAAGTGCTGTATATTAATGCAAATTACTTAAAACTCAAGATTACAAGTAAATTATGCATAAGTAAAACTTATTAAAGCTCGATTTTTGAATTTGTATAATTAACTGCGGATAAATATAATCAAATAGAGGATAAACATCTCATTTTAAAATATAAAAAATCTAAAATGTAATTAAGATAATTATCGAGTTCTAACAAAATATTAATTATTATATTTAAGAAAATTATATAATTAAATAAAAAATAAAAAAAATGTGTTACATAAATACACAAAAAAAAAAAAATTTAAATAGTTAGATCGGTACTTTTTTTAAATATTTTATAATATCTTCATATTTATTTTTTTGTTCAAAAATAAAAACATTATCACTTTCTCAAAACCACATAAAACCGTATTATAACATCGATTGCAACAAAAAAATAAAATGAAACAATAAAATCAATATGTATCTCGTTGCATTGTGTGACTACCATTCTAGTAGTATTTAAAGCAGTTTGATTATTGTTTAATCCAATTTTTTACCAGTCGGTAAAATGAAGTATTTTGTTGCATTCGAATTTTTACCAGCAGAATTTTTTTAATTTTTAGGTGAAAATCGATTTTTTTATAATTAAAATATGGTAATTATTGAAGGTTGGAAAAGAGTTTTTTTTTATAATTATTTAATTTTGGAATGTTAATATTAATTATCTATACTATTTTGTATTTGACAAAATCTTTTAAAAACCATTTTTTATGCATGAAATATTGTTATATTGATGCATATTACTTAAAATTCAAGATTACAAGTAAATTATGCATAAATACAACTTATTAAAGCTCCATGTTTGAATTCGTGTAACTAACTGTGGA